CGATCATTAAAATTATCCTTAAAATACCCTTAAAAAACCCCGCTAAAAATCCCTAGGCCAGACCCGCTTGTTGAAAAAGCCATGTCTTTAGGGCGCGGCGGAAGGAGGGGAGATCCGGGATCACCCGGATCTCTGGGGGTAGTTCGTTCCAGAGGGTGGGGGCTCCCACCGAGAAGGCCCTCCCCCTGGGGGTTGCCAGTCGGCACTGTCTGGCTGACGGCACCCTGAGGAGACCCACTCTGTGGGAGCGTACCGGCCGATGGGAGGTAACCTGCGGCAGAAGGCGGTCTCGGAGATATGGTGTGACTCGGAGATATGGTGTGACTGGGAGAAGGCGGTCTCGGAGATATGGTGTGACTGGGGGTTCTTCACATGTTATTCTTCCTTATTAACATTCTTAACTTCCTTAACAAGAAATCTTTTTACTGATTGTTCCAGTTCTTGAGTGACACCTTCAAGAGCAGGGAAATTTTAACTAAACATTTGTCTGCCCTGTTTTAGCTCACCTTACCCATTCAAAGGAGGAAATTTCTAACCAACCCAGCCTGGCGGAGTTCTCCGTCCTGGACGTCACAAGCGATTCTGTCCATCTCCATTGGACCGTCCCCACTGGGAACTTTGACTCCTTCCTGGTTCAATACAAGGATGCAGATGGCCAACCTCAAGCATTGCCTGTAGAAGGAAGCTCTCAAGAAGTCACCGTGACAAACCTGGTTCCTTCACGCAGATACAAATTCAACCTCTATGGAATCTTGGGGCATAAACGCTCCCAGCCCCTCTCTACTGATGCCACCACAGGTCAGTTTCAGGAGTCAATTTAGATTGAAGCCATTCAGAAATTGCAGACTCACTTTAACGTTCTTCCACTCCATTAGCAGCTTTGATAGGTGAGATGGTTTCCCTATTTTGTAATTCCTTGTTTCATATTCCTAGTCTTAGACTTTCTTCAAATATTCGGCGATTTTTCTTTCCTGTTTGACTTTTGCTTTTATCTTCTTCGTTGATTTATGCCTGATTGTATAGCCATGAGTTTGAGAAGTCACATAATCAGCTCGCAAGTGAATGATTCGTTTTTTTCTTATGGTGCTCCAGATTTCCATCCTATGAGCAATGACTTTTCTTCTCCAATCAAATTATAAAGTTCTAGGTCAGTGTTTCTCAACCTTGGCAACTTTACGATGTGTGGACTTCAACTCCCAGAATTCTCCAGCTAGCGTTGCTAGCTGGAGAATTTTGGGAGTTGAAGTCCACACATCGTAAAGTTGCCAAGGTTGAGAAACACTGTTCTAGGTGCATAGTTGGTGTTCATTAGACTTACAGGTCCAAAAGTCTTTATCCGTGAAACTGTTTCTTTCATGTCTGTTTGTCGGCCTGCCTCCCTCCTCCATAACTATCTGTCTGTCTACCTGTCTACCTATCTTACTCCCCATTGCTCAAATTGCAATCTAGTTCAGTTGGGTAACAGTTTTCAACTTTGAGTTTATTAATCTGGAAACGATGAGTTTATTTTCTGCTAGTGTGGGAATAAAATGGCTTTTATTTAATCTGTGTGAGAGTGGCAGTTCCCTCCTCAGTTATACAATTTTGAGTCCCTTGCACATTTACTCACAGAGAAGGGAAACTGAGGGACAGAATGCTAGTCACTTCTGTTTTGTATTAGAACTAAAGTTCTGCTTGGTTCTTTTTTTGCATGTGATCTTTGACAAAATTAGATGATCATGTAGAAAAATTCATTTTGCTAAATTCCAGACTAGCAGAATTAGATTTTTGTGTTGTTAGTCTTTCAACTTTGGAACTTGTTGTAACTTATGTAATGAGACTTTCCATTAATTAGGGCTTTGTAGGAGTAGAATGCATAGCATAAAGGGTGAATAAAGAAAGAACACATAGGAGCAAGCTAACTGTTGCTGTTAGTTGCAAAGTCGTGTCCGACCCATCGCAACCCCATGGACAACATTCCTCCAGGTCTTCCTGTCCTCTACCATCTTCTGGAGTCCATTTAAGCTCACGCCTACTGCTTCAGTGACTCCATCCAGCCACCTCATTCTCTGTCGTCCCCTTCTTCTATTGCCCTCAATCTTTCCCAGCATTATGCTCTTCTCCAGTGAGTCCTTCCTTCTCATTAGGTGGCCAAAGTATTTGAGTTTCAACTTCAGGATCTGGCCTTCTAAAGAGCAGTTGGGGTTGATCTCTTCTAGGACTGACCGGTTTGATTGCCTTGCAGTCCAGGGGACTCGCAGGAGTCTTCTCCAGCACCATAGTTCAAAGGCCTCAATTCTTTGGGGCTCAGCCTTTCTTATGGTCCAACTTTCACAGCCATACATTGCAACTGGGAAAACCATGGCCTTGACAAGCTAACTATCACTTAACTAATTCTTTAGGTGTTGCTTTTGATGAGCGTTATGAGCAAAAAGCCTTGAAAACACTTCAGATTACTTAATGAGAAATAGCTTCCCAATCTTTATTATTGATAAATACTTAAAAATGCATTTCCTGATTTTTTTTAACTTAAAAATTGACAGCCCAAAACACGACAGCCAAAAAAATACTTTAAAAATGGCAACCTGTCTGCCTTCTTCTCCTTTCCAAGTCTCACTGTCTAAATATTTTACCTGGAGAGGAGTTTACTGTTATGGAGGAGGGGAGGTTAGGTTTTGTCTCTTATAGATAGGCATATCTGGAATTCTAATTTTTGTTGTTGTTTGAAGCTTTCACAACCAGTCTTCACATTACAAACAAGAACAGGATTACCAAGGAGGTAATGCTAAGCTTCCTAAAATGGTCCTCTTCAAATTATTATAGGGATCTCTTCCAAAACAGGCACATGGCTGCCAAAACTTTTGCACCCTCTCAATTTTTTAGGCATTTTAGTAATCAATGTCAGAGCATGCCCAGTCTTATTGCGCTGAGATAACCCAGGAGTAAACACAGTAAACAGTGGTCTATATTAAATGGTGGTTTATCTTACTATATCTATAATATCATACACCAGGAACAATATACATACACATGTTAATACAGCAGTCTCTATCACACAGCAGTTACAGCAGGAAACAGAAGAGAGAGCACACATCTACAGAGTCTTCCCTTTTATACAAAGCTCTTAAAGGGGCACAGACCCAGCTGGCTCTTAAAGGGATGTAGACCCTGCTGAGTCATTCCCATCATTACATCATATATCTTATATCATCTGGTTAGCTTCTAAACCATTACCTTGACAATCAATTACATCAATTGCTATATTGCAGGATCCAATCTGGGTCGGTCACCGGGATCAGAGGTTTAGTCTTCCTATCTTTTGGACTCATGCTGGAGCCCATTCTCTTGCAGAGTGTGTGTGTCTCTCTCACATTCTGGTGAGAGAGAAGCTTCTTGAGGATATGGGCTCCAGCATGAGTTAGAAAGCCTGGAAGAGAAAAACTCTGGTCCTGGTAAATGACTCAGTTTGGATCTTGCAACATTATCCCAGAACACACATATTTGTCTTCATTTGTAATTGCTATATTATTGATAAAAACCCAAAAATATTTTCTCACGTGCTGTATGTACTCATGGTTAAGCTAAGAATTTCAGTTGCCAAAACTGTGCCCCCCAAATTGGGTCCAGCTTATCCGTGAATGACTTTATCCATGAGAACATACATTAATACATTTTAAAAAGTACCTATGTATCCTGTATATCCATGGATATGAGTGGTCAGTAAGTGAGGACCACCTGTATTACTTTTTATCCAAGAAAGCTCAGGAGAAGGACAGAATTTATTCCCCCATAAAACCCTACTCAGGAAAATTTTAAAGTCCTTTATTTTTAAAGGGTTCTCCTTCTCTCAATTTTATTTTATTTTGTGGTTTTGAAGTATTTAGAAAATACAGAACGACAAAAATGAACCATCATTGCTGTTTCCACAATTTACCACATTTCTTTCTATTTTAGCACATCTTACAGTCTCAGAGGACACAAGTCCTCTCCAACCTAGTCTTGGAGAGTTGTCAGTCCTTGACGTCACAAGTGATTCTATCCGACTCCATTGGACGGTCCCTACCGGGAGCTTTGACTCCTTCTTGATCCAGTACAAGGATGCAGATAGTCAACCCCAAGCCCTGCCTGTGGAGGGAGGCTCCACTGAGGTCACGGTGACCGACCTGGCTCCTTCCCGCAGATACAAGTTCAACCTCTATGGGGTCTCTGGGAAAAAACGTTCCAGGCCGCTCACCACCGAGGCCACCACAGGTCAGCTTCAGCATTTAGTGCGGTCGGAACTTTTCAAATACTTTAACTTCATATTAACTTTCTTGGTTTCCTTAACAAGCAGCAATTTTTAACTGAATGTTGCAGCTTCTGGATTGCATAGCCAACATCAAAGCTCTTATAACTAAGCCTTTTTTTTTTAATTTCTCTGCTTTAGCCCACATTAGAGACCCAGGGGAGCCAATTCCTGTCCAACCCAGCCTAGGAGACTTCTCAGTTCTTGAGGTGACGAGTGATTCTGTCCGACTCCATTGGACCGTCCCCACTGGGAGTTTTGACTCCTTTTTGATCCAGTACAAGGATACAGATGGTCAACCTCGAGTGTTGCCTGTGGAGGGAAGCCTCAATGAAGTCACAGTGACCAGCCTGGCTCCTTCTCACCAATATAAATTCAACCTCTATGGAGTCTCTGGGGGCAAACGCTCCAGCCCTCTGTCCATTGATGCCACCACAGGTGAGCTTCAGGAGACATTCTGCCAGGGGATTTTAAGATATTGTAACATCATATTAACTTTATTGCTTTCGTTAACCAATAGCATATTAGCTGAATGTTTCAACTGCTGGATAGCATATTGAACATCAAGGCTAATATACTTATGTATTTTCTATCATTTTCCTGTTTTTAGCTCACCTTCCAGATTCAGAGCAGCCAGTTCCTGTCCAACCCAGCCTGGGGCAGTTCTCAGTTGTGGATGTCACAAGCGACTCTGTCCGACTCCATTGGACCGTCCCCACTGGGAGCTTTGACTCCTTCTTGATCCAGTACAAGGATGCAGATGGGCAATCCCAAGCATTGCCTGTGGAGGGAGGCGTCAGTGAAGTCACTGTGACCAACCTGGCTCCTTCCCATAGATACAAGTTCAATCTCCATGGAGTCTCTGGGCGCAAGCGGTCCAGCCCCCTCTCCACAGATGCCACCACAGGTCAGTTTCCGGAGTGTGAATCGGCTCTTGTATCTTCATATTAACGTTCTCTACCTTAACATTAACATTTTTTTGCAAGCAGCATCTTATTGAATCTTTCAGCTCTCAGGTTGCATCTCCAACAGCCAGACATTTGAACCAAGCATTTTTCTTTTCCATATGCCTGTTTTAGCTCAAATCACAGAGGAGGCAATTCCCATCCAACCCAGCCTAGGGGAGTTCTCCGTCCTTGATGTCACAAGGGATTCTGTCCGTCTCCATTGGACCGTCCTCACTGGGAACTTTGACTCCTTCCTGGTCCAGTACAAGGATGCAGATGGCCAACCCCAAGCGTTGCCTGTGGAGGGAAGCCTCAATGAAGTCACTGTGACCAACCTAGCTCCTTCTCGCAGATATAAGTTCAACCTCTACGGAGTCTCTGGGCACGAACGCTCCAGCCCCCTCTCCACCGATGCCACCACAGGTCAGCTTCAGGATTTAGCATGTCTGTGAGCTTTTCATCTCTTTTTATTTATGTATTAACATTTCTAATTTCCTTACGGCCTAAAGGATGCAAGTAGCATATTTGCTAAATGTTCCATCACCTAGATCAGGGGTAGGCAACCTTGGCTCTTTTATGACTCGTGGACTTCAACTCCCAGAACTCCTGAGCCAGCCTGGCTCAGCTTGGAAACCTCTCCCTTTCCCCTCAGCATGGCTGGCTCAGGAATTCTGGGAGTTGAAGTCCACGAGTCATAAAAGAGCCAAGGCTGCCTACCCCTGGTATAGGGTTTCCTTCCTGAACAGGGGTTGGACTAGATGATCTCCAAGGTCCCTTCCAACTTTATTATTACTATTATTGTTGTTGTTGTTGATTTGGTGTTATTATTACTATTACTGTTGTTGTTGTTGTTGTTGTTGTTGTTGTTATTATTATTCCATGTTACCAATCCTGATTTTCTTAACCAGTAACTATTTTACTGATGGTTCCAACGCTTCGGTGTTATCTCAAAGAGCAAGGAAATTATAAGTTGGCCTTTTCTTTTATTTCCTTGTTTTAGCCCACCTTACAGACTCAGAGAAGCCAATTCCTGCCCATCCCAGCCTAGGAGAGTTTTCCGTCCTTGATGTCACGAGTGATTCTGTCCGACTCCATTGGACCGTCCCCACTGGGAGGTTTGACTCCTTCCTGGTCCAGTACAAGGATGCAGATGGCCAACCTCAAGCATTGCCTGTGGAGAGAGACTCCCGTGAAGTCACATTGACCGACCTGGCTCCATCCCGCAGATACAAGTTCAACCTCTATGGCATCTCCGGGCAAAAACGCTCCAGGCCCCTCTCCACAGATGCCACCACAGGTCAGCTGCAGCAAGCAGAGTGGTTATGGGCTTTTTAGCATAGGTACATTTATATTAACCTTGGTTTCTTTAAGCCAGGGGTGTCAAACTCAATTTCATTGAGGGCCGCATCAGCATTGTGGTTGCTCTTGGGGGGGGCAGGTGAGTGTGGCCAGGGTGGGTGTGACCTACTGGGTGGGTGTGGGTGGAGTGGGTGTGGCCTATTGGGTGGGCTTGGCCAACTCTATATCGTGCACGTCAAGGGTGCCTGTGGGGGCCTAGGCAGGAGTGGGAGAGATCTGGGGGTCTCTGGCAGAAGGGGGTGGGACTGGGGCAAGTGCCAAGGCATGGTCCACTGGAGGAGCCTCACTGCCTGCTGAAACCCCTCCGCCGGAGCCCATCAAGCCGGATAGATGAAGTAGGCGAGGGCCATTTGCTGGCCACTTCCAGGCACTGGTGCATTTCTTCATTCCTCACAAAGGGTGACACCTTCCCAGCCTGCACCCAGGGGACGGGGGCAATACGGCAGGGGCTGGTTCCTTGCTGTTTCTAGACGGCCTTGTGGAGCTAAGACTGAATGCGTTTCAGCATAGATGGCCACCACAAAATTGTACATTGGCTCCTGGCCAGCCTGGGCCAGGGCCAAGGCAGAGGGGGCCATTCCCTCACTGTTTCCAGGATGGCTTCGCGGGCCACATGAAACCACTTTGCAGGCCGCATCCGGCCCCCGGGCCTTGTGTTTGACATGTCTGCTTTAAGCATTGCTCTCGTTTAAGTTTGTTTGTTTGTTGTTTATGTTTATGTTTATTGTATTTATATCCCGCCCTTCTCCTTACGGACTCAGGGCGGCTAACAGCCAGATAAAACAATTACAAAAGTACAGAATACTATAATTAAAACCCAATTAAAAAAAGATATAATATTAGGCCTATGTTAATTTAAAATTATATTAAAACCCAACTAAAAATTTCCCCTAGGCCAGTCCCGCTTGCTGAAATAGCCATGTCTTAAGGGCGCGGCGGAAGGAAGGAAGATCAGGGATCACCCTGATCTCTGGGGGTAGTTCGTTCCACAGGGTGGGAGCTCCCACAGAGAAGGCCCTCCCCNAGGAGACCCACTCTGTGGGAGCGTACTGGTCGATGGGAGGTAATCTGTGGTAGAAGGCGGTCTCGGAGATATCCAGGTCCGATGCCATGGAGCGCTTTGAAGGTGATAATCAACACCTTGAAGCGCACCCGGAAAGCCACCGGCAGCCAGTGCAGCTCGCGCAGTAACGGTGTTACATGGGAGCGACGAGTCCCTCCCAACACCGCCCGCGCGGCCGCATTCTGGACTAACTGGAGCCTCCGGGTGCTCCTCAAGGGGAGCCCCATGTAGAGAGCGTTGCAGTAGTCCAGGCGGGAGGTGACAAGGGCATGGGTGACTGTGTGCAAGGCGTCCCGGTCCAGAAAAGGCCGCAACTGGTAGATCAGGCGCACCTGATAAAACGCCCCCCTGGTCACGGCCGCCAACTGGTCTTCCAGTGTCAGCCGCGAATCCAGGAGGACACCCAGATTGCGAACCCTTTCCGAGGGAGCCAAAATTTCGCCCCCTATAGTCAGCGATGGAGTCAGCTGACTATGCCGAGGCGCCGGTAGCCATAGCCACTCGGTCTTGGAAGGGTTGAGCCTGAGTCTGTTTCTCCCCATCCAGACCCTTACAGCCTCCAGGCATCGGGCCATCACGTCAAGGGCATCGTTGGGGTGGCCTGGGGTGGAAATGTACAGCTGAGTATCATCAGCGTACTGATGGAAGTCCACTCCAAAGCCACGGATGATCTCTCCCAGCGGCTTCACATAAATATTGAACAGAAGCGGAGAGAAGACCGACCCTTGTGGCACCCCACACGTTAGGGGCCTTGGGGTCAACCTCTGTCCCCCTGCCAATACAGACTGCGTACGGTCGGTGAGGAAGGAGGAGAACCACCGCATAACAGTGCCCCCCACTCCCAGCTCACCCAAGCGCCGCAGCATGATACCGTGGTCCACGGTATCAAAAGCCGCTGAGAGGTCCAAAAGAACTAGGACAGAGGAATAACCCCTGTCCCGGGCCCTCCAGAGATCATTCACCAACGGGACCAATGCCGTTTCCGTGCTGTATCCCGGCCTGAAGCCCGACTGGAGCGGGTCCAGATAGACTGTTTCCTCCAGGTGCCGAGGGAGTTGCTGCGCAACCACACTCTCAACAACCTTCGCCACAAAGCGAAGGTTGGAGACTAGGCGATAGTTAGCCAATACATCTGGGTCCAGGGAAGGCTTCTTCAGGAGGGGCCTCACCACCGCCTCCTTTAGGGCTACGGGGAAGGCACCCTCCCGTAAAGAAGCGTTTATAATTCCCTGGAGCCAGGCTCGTGTACCCTCCCGAGCCGCCAGTACCAGCCAGGAGGGGCATGGATCCAGTAAACATGTGGTTGCATTCAGCCTCCCCAGGATCCTGTCCACGTCCTCGGGAGCCACAGAGTCAAACTCCTCTCATGTAATAGTCTCAAGACGTGCTCCCGTCTCCTCCCCCGGGGCCACCCAGTCGGAGTCTAAACCCTCTCGGATCCGAGCGACTTTGTCATGCAGATATTGGGCAAAATCCTCAGCCCTCCCCACCAGGGGGTCCCCCCCTCCCCTCAGCTGAAGGAGAGAGTGGGTCACCCTGAAGAGGGTGGCCAGGCGGTTATCTGATGACGCAATGAGGGTGGAGTAGTAATTAGACCTCGCCACCCTCATTGCCACAAGGTAGGATCTAACATGCATCCTTGCCTGTGCTCGGTCGGATTCGGTTCGGGTAGCCCTCCAACTGCTCTCTAGGCGTCTTTTCCGGTGCTTCATCTCTCTCAGCTCCTCGGTAAACCAAGGAGCTAATTGAGATCTGCGTCGGGTCAGAGGCCGCAACGGCACGACTCGGTCCAGTGCCGCGGCTGCGGCCACATCCCAGGCCGCAGCCAGATTTTCCGCCGAGTCGTGGACTAGATCCTCCGGATATGGCCCAAGCTCCGTCAGGAACCTCTTTGCGTAACATGCATAAGTTGTTTTTCAGTAGCTCTTGCTAAGCAGTGCCCTCATCTAAGTGTTTGCACAACATGAATACGTTGCTTTTCAGCAGTCCCTGCTAATTGGATCTTTTGCAAATATTCTATTGAGTTTTGGAGGTGTTTTTTGCCTGCCTCTTTTTTCTTTTTCTCCTTCCTTCCCTCCCTCTCCATGTTCCTCAAGTAGTAACCCATTCATTTGCTCATTTAACATACTTATACATTTTCTTCCTGCCCCAAAGGAGTAGGTCTGGTGCCATTGACTCCCTGGACAATCTTTTGTTCAATTGAGCCATCATTATTGGTAAATTAAGGAGTAAATTCCCTTACTTTTTTTAAATGGGAAAACGGATTCCACAATGTAGTGGCTAATCTGGACCTTGAATGATTGCTTCAGAGTCTTGTAGAAAGAAGGGGAGATGTAGAAAACCTCTTTTGTCTTCTCTTGAGACCCTTACCTCTTGTGGCCAAAGAGTTTACAGATGCTGACATTACCCAGAGATGGCTGGTTATATTCTGTTCAAACATGGATTCTCCCTACTTCAACTGCCTTATGTTGAATCAAAGTTTAAATAAAGTTGTCCTTTTAATCCACTTCTCAATTCCAGTGCACCTTGCTGGTCAACAGGATTTCCCCAACTCCATTAACACTACCTAAGTTAGTTATTCATTTTCAAAAGTTGGGCTGGTAGCGCCTTGATTGCAGAAATTTATTGCTGGGGATTTTATGTAGATTTCATCTTATAGGGCTATAGCCAGCTATAGGGCTATAGCCAGCTCACAGGCATAAATAATCCACATTTGTTAATGAGTTGATAGATTGCAGAAATGGCAACAGAGCCAACAACAATAAACGCATCTTTAACCTAAGGGACTGAAAATTCACTATCTCCATATCACAGTGGTGGCGAACCTATGGCACGGGTGCCAGAGGTGGCACTCGGAGCCCTCTCTGTGGGCACACGTGTCATTGCCCCAGCCTCGCCTCCCCCTGTGACCCCCTCCTCTCCAGCAGCCCCCCTGAAGGAGAGTTGCCCCTGAGTGTGGCCCACGCAGAGCAGCGCAGCCAAGGACATGGCAGCCAGGCAGCGTAGACAAGACTCTGCCCTCACACCCCATTGTGCACAGTTGATGTGCGGGGCGTGGGCAGAGGGCATGGCCAACATGGGCTGCCTGGGCTATCTGCGGCGGGCCCTGGAGGCAGTGAGTGGCCCTGCGGGCAGGCAGGGCGGGGGATGGGGGGTGGAGTGGGAGAGGGGCAGGGGTGGAGCAGGGGCGGGGCCAGTTTTTGGGCACTCGGTCTCTAAAAGGTTTGCCATCACTGTCATATCATCTCTAAATATGACAAAGAAAGAAAAAGAAA